CAAGGCAAACTAACCATTCCCGAGTTTCTGATCCCCTTCCAGATTTGTTACAAGCAAAAAAAGGAAGAATAATATGAAAAAGGCCGGAGCACATTTTGGAAAATCGTAAAATTACACATTCCAGTCTTTAATAACCCGAAGATCTGATGCAGAGTCCTAAGAAAAGCAAAAGACTGGCTTATTCATGAAAGCGGGTCCTGAGCGTTCTCAAATTCCTCTTTGGACCTCATCACATTGTAAATAAATTCCAAAGCACAGATCCAAATTTCAGGTCGGTGGTGATCAATGGTTGGGATATAATCCCTATGTTTGTTTTGGCCATGGTTTGGTTTCTTTCTCTTTATTGGGAGCCTGATAATTGCTCAACAGCAAAGATCTCTTTCCCAGCCGAGTCGTGTTTCCCTTCCACGGCTGGGGAATAGGTAGTCAAGCATCAAGTCTTCCATGAGATGGGTCCAGAGCTCAGTTTCAGAAAGGTGAGTAGCAGGAGCAGTCAATTATATTCCACCTGTCCTGAACCCAACTGAGTCTCGTGAATAACAGGAAAGCTCTTCCTGATTCTGAGCACTGATCACCACATAGCACCGCGAAATATCCCGGCACCTTGCATTTTTCTAGTGGTTTCTGATTCTGGATAAATGGCTTTAACGATCTTTCCAGAGCACAGATTTTAGGGCATGTCTCTGACTCTCCCTGCCTATCTGACCTTGCATGGGCCACTGCACCATATCCCAATCTCAGTTCTTGACTAGGTAGGGGGATAATGCTTAGATTCCTTGCAGGAATGGAGATGATAATAAAGTGTTCAAATCTTATCTGTCCAAGTAACACGGGTCTCCTCTTTTTTCCCTCTTAGAAGATCGGATGGATGGCTGTGTGGAGGCTGTCCAATGCTTGAAGGTGTCTGGGTGGATCCCAGAGCAGGAAAATTCACAAGGCCGCTTTTAAATTGCTCATCCCATTAAGCAAATATTGTCACTATTTCCAAATGGGTCATTTCTCTTGCTGATTGGGTTTGTTCGGATGAAAGATCTGGGTGAACCGCCACTCCTGGGCTGAGCGACCTTCAGCAAGTCAGAAGTGGAAGTATGATTCAGGCTTTCTGAGTCACAACACAGTGCTCTTTCTGACAGACAGCCTAAGTTTTTCAGTTTCCGTGTCCAGGAAAGATGAAAAGATGGTAACCTTGACCTGGTGGGTGGATGGATGGATGGATGGATGGGACAGCCTAAGCCTTTCGGCTTTTGTGAAACTCACTGTGTCCAGAAAAGATGAAAAGATGGTAACCTTGAGCTGGTGAATGGATGGATGGATGGATGGGTGGACAGATGGATGGATGGTGTGTGTGTGTGTCCCCGTAATGTTAGCTCTTAGCTCAAAGTGGAACAGACTGAATCAGTATTTGTGAGAAGATTCTCAGTTGGGAATCAAAAGACTCGGGTCCAATCCTCACTGAACCACCATCTGAAAATCATGACATTTATTTATTTGCTTATTATCTGTCTCCCCAAGGAGAATACAAATTTCGGGAAAAGAGGGACCTTCGCCCCCTTGCTGTCCCCTTATCCCACGTACAAGGGACAGCGCCCGGTACAAAGTAAATGCTCAACAAATATTTATTTCACGAACGCATCCTGGATCTGCCACTCACCAGCCACACGACCTTGGGAAGCCAATCCAACCTCCTAGTCCCCTGTTACGCCCTGCAAAATGGGGATGGAGGGCACCACTGCCCCCAAGCCCGGCTCAGGGGCTGGAAGGAAGGTCCAGGGAAGGAAGCAGTGTGAAATTGGTCTAAAAAGCACACAGCACGGACAAAATGCAACCCACAGAACCCTTTACTGTATTCTCTTCCTCCCCCCTTCTGCCTTCCCTTTGAATAGCCAGGGTAGTAGATGGCTTTGCTCAAATCTTTATTTGGGTTGCCTCTGGTTTCTAAGGTTGGGGAGGGGGGCGGTTATCAGGGTGGGAGGGGGAAAGAAAGACAGACAAGTGCTCTCCCAGGCCCCGGGGTCCTGGATTTGATTGAGTGGCATTGATAAAAGACCTTCCTGGCTCTTTCGGCTCCATCCACAGGGAGAGATAGTTTGGAGACAGCTGGGTCCAAACACAAGAAACCCTCTGGCCTGCCTGGCCCTTTGACATTTCGTTGGGCCTGCCTCCTGGGCTCGTTGGAAAGGAGACAGACAATGAGGGGAAGTCAGATAGTGGGGCAGGCAGGGGCCGCGGGGCGGGGCGGGGGGGGGGGAACCACCCACGGAGCTATCACTTCACGGGAATCCCAAACTGGAAGGAAACCTTGCTGATTCCTTATCACCTTACAATGGAGGCTGATGATGAATTGCTTTTTGTCGGCACGCGGGACAGACAGAGCTCGGCTGGAATGCTCCCTGTCCCCGGGAGCGCCCTTTTGGGGGTGGAGGGAGGTGAGAAGGGCAGAGGTTTGTGGCAAGGTGAAAGGGGTCCTGCAGGGTGCACGCCCCCTGCAGCCCGAATGCACGGACCGTGGCGTGAACTTGGGGTGGGACCACTCACGAGCCGGGTGATGCTGGACCAATCACTCAATCTCCCTGAGCCTCAGTTTCTGCATCTGTGGAAAGGGAGTCATTCTTCACCTTGTTATCGGCAACGGGTCCCTGGGGCCTGACTGTACCCACACCTGCAGATCTTGTGCCGGCAGCCGGGGCTTAGCACTATCATTTCCCGCCTCAGGGCCTGCAATAGCCTCTCAGCAGAGCTTTGGAGCCAATCCTCGTTCCCCCACCCCCTACCACCCAACACAGCAAAATGCCTGCTTCAAAACAGAAACCTCATCACGTCCCTCGTGGGTCAAAACCCCTCCGATGGCTGCCTGTTGGGGTCAGGATAAAATCTAAAGTCCTGGGGTGCCTGGGTGGCTCAGTCGTTTGACCCTCTGATTCTTGGTTTGGGCTCAGGTCATGATCTCAGGGCCCTGGGATCGAGCCCCTCATCAGGCTCCCTGCTCAGCATGGCATCGGCTTGTCCTTCTCCCTCTGCTCCTCCCCCTGCTCATGTGCATGCTTTCTGTCTTTCTCTCATAAATAAACAAATAATCTTTTTAAAAAAAAATCTAAAGTCCGGGCGCCTGGGTGGCTCAGTCGTTAAGCGTCTGCCTTCGGCTCAGGTCATCATCCCAGGGTCCTGGGATCGAGCCCCACATCGGGCTCCCTGCTCTGCGGGAGGCCTGCTTCTCCCTCTCCCACTCCCCCTGCGTGTGTTCCTGCTCTCGCTATGTCTCTCTCTGTCAAAAAAATAAATAAAATCTTTAAAAAAAAAAAAATCTAAAGTCCTCAAAATGGCTTACAAGGGCTGGCAGCGTGCTGGTTCCTGCCTTTCTCCATAGCTCATCTGCCTCCCCTTCCCCTCACTGTGTTCCAGCCACAGTGGCCCTGTGTTTGCTCCCCAGAGGGGGCTGGCTCCCCAGTTTCTGAGGGGCTGCACCCATACCCTTCTCTCTGCCTGGATCCCCGGCCATCTCCCCTCTTTCTCCTTCCAGCTTCCGCTCTGCAGACCTTGGCTTAAACTCCCCCCGATCCCCCGGCTCCTGCATCACACCCTGCATCATACGTACGCATCGGCACGTTTCCTATCTCCTTCACAGCATCAGATCACCGTTTTAATCAAGCAGTCGTATCACCGTATATAATTACACATCTGACCCACTTGCAGCCGTGAGCTTCCTAAGTGCAGAGTGGTGGCCAGCTAACACGCATCGAGCACTTAGATGTGTGGGGTACTCTTCCGGGCGCTTCGCATGAACCCTCTCATTCCATCTCATCACGACCCTACGGGGGAGGTGCTACTGTAATCCTCATTTTGCAAAAAAGGGAGTTGAGGCTGAGAAAGCAAGCAGCTTGCCCGTTGCCATGCTGCTGGAAAGCGTCAGCTGCTGGGATGTCCTGCGGCAGACTGGCCACCAAGTCCGGCTTCCCCAGTGGCCACCTCAAGTCGACCCTGAGCTCACCTGAGGATCCCGCCAAATACCCTGTTGCGCGTCATCTGCTCACATCATTGGAAGGCTTCATCCCCTTGCCTTCAAAGCCTTCTCACACCACCCTCCAGGAGAAAAGCCTTTACAAGGATGATGCTGTAGATACTGAATCTAAAAAAGTACCTGGATTCTTTTTAACTTCTTCCTCCCCTTCTTTTGGCCTGGCATTAATTTAATTGACAGAACTCCCTAATTCAAACCTAGTGAGCTCTTCATCAGTATGTTTGACTCAGTCTCCAGGCCAATCTCTAGTGAAAAGTGGCATTCTGAGATTAGGGCTGATAAGCAAAGGTAATGGGGACCGTGTACAATGTGACTCGGAGCTCAAGTAGAGCCTGCAGACCAGGCATGGGTTCAAATTCCCACCTTCGGGAACCACGCGCACATGATTTTACCTTTCTGAGCCTCAGTTTCCCTGTTTGTAAAGTGAGTGAATAACAGCACATACGTAATAGTGTTGTCAAAAGGCTATGGCATAGAACCTAGGCAAGGCTTGCCTTCAATAGGACATAGATCCGAATCTTCATGCAGTACTGTGCCCCAAGGGACATGCTTAAACCCTGCTCGTGCCTGAAGAGGCTGACGTGTTTGCAGGCATCTGGTCTCCAGCCCAGGCGGCAGTGGACATGCTGGGAGCCGGGCCAGGGGGCCCATTGGGGTGATATTATTGTTTAGGCCTTCAAGATCCAAGGAGCTTGGATGGGCTTCAGGTTAAGTCTGGAAACTTAGCCTCGCCCAGGGCAGCTCCCCAGCCCCAGGCTTGAACCAATGACAGCCCTTCTCTCCTTCAAGATCGGTAATATCAAAGAGTCAAACTGTGTTACTTTCCTTGAGTAACCTCAGCTCAGAGAAGACTGCCAAAGCATCCATTTCCCATCAGTTCTTGTTAGTGAGCTGATTTAAAGGAAGAAGAAGATGAATGAGAAGAAGAAAAAGAAGGAGGAGGAGGAGGAGGAGGAAGAAGAGGAGGAGGAAGAGGAGGGAGAGGAGGAGGAAGAGGAGGAGGAAGAAGAAGAAGTAGTTGTTCCAGACACTGGGCGCTGGACTTCTAAAGGCATCGAGTTGGCCACTGAGGCTGGGAGGTATGAGAGACCCCTCTCAAAGACTAAGATCTGGGCCTGCTGGAGCAAACCAGTGACTGCTTCTTGGGTCAACCTTGTGCTAAATATGGCAAGCACACTTTCATGAGATCATCACACCACGCCTATGGGACAGGTCTGATCATGAGACCAAATCTACAGATTAGAAAAAATAAGCCTTAGAGCAGTTAAGGAACTTGCCCCAATCATAAAAACCTGCAAATGGCAAAGGTGGGATTCATCCCAACTGTACGTGGTCCCTGCCCCCCCCATATCTGCTTTCTCGAAACTTCACCCAGATAAGCAGCCTTCCCTTCCTCTGTGGATGCTCTCCCTGGAGCCGTACCTGCCACTCACACAATCAGACCTAACACCTGCTGGGTGCTTACTGAGTATCAGATGCTCTGGGGATCTCAAGCACCATTTACAAGGTGAGAAACTGAGGCATAGAGAGGCCAGGACACCTGCTGAGGTCACACAAGAAGCTGGTGGTAGAGTTGAGACTCAAGCCTGTGTCATCTGGCCCTGTCGCCCATGCTGTCCCCACCTTGCCGGTCTGCCATTCACACAAGCGACCGTTCTATTAAGCTGAACTCAACCACATCTGCTTCGACTCTGGCTCAAAAAATGTGCCACCAGAAATTTCCTTTTGTATTACAGCCCTCAACTCAGATGACTTAGGAAAAGTCACCCATTTCTCATTTGGGAAAGAAGACAATGAAGGGTCTCAGACAGAATTTAAACTAGATTTAAAGACAAAATGCAAAGGAGAGAAGATCAGTTGTGATTTTTTCTTTTCCTTTCTTTTTTTTGATTTTGATCTGGAATGAGAGAAGAGCTCAGAATCCACCCACCCAAGAGAAACCCTAGCACATGAACCAAAGCACATCCAACTACAAGAAGGCTCTCTGCAGCCTGGCTTGCAATACAACCACAAACGCTAGAAGCAGCCACCTTGGCCACTCGTGGGAGTGAAAAATAAATTCTGCTTCATCCTTTTGAGGCCATATTTTCTCTTCAGCAGCTTTTAAAAAGTGCAAGGCAGCTCTAGGTTCATGAAAAGATCATCTACAACGTATTCCCGAGCTTAAGAAAGGCAATGCAAAATACAGACAGTATAATCTCAACTGTTAAAAGTAAAAAGAAAACTATTTTTATGTGTCTCTGCACACACGGTGTGTGTGCACGCACATGTGTAAATGAATTAAATAGGACCGGACAGTTCAAATAAGTTTTCCCCAAGCAAGGGGCCAGAACTGGAGGAGATGTATCAAAGGAGATCCTTCCCTTTTACTGATATGGTTTGAATTTCTTACAATTTCCATGTATTTTTATATTGCTTACATTTTTTAAATAAATAAATGTAGTTGTGTGTACTTTTTTTTTCCCCAAGGTAAGGAAGGAAAAACAGAAAAGGGTCATCACACTCACCTTTCCTCTTGGTGCAATGATAAATCTGACCGTGCTCCTGGGGCAGTGGGTATGGGTTGGGCGGGGGCAGGAGGTCCTGGGAGGGGCCGGACACACCATTCTCGCACTGGTACTGGGACCCCAAGTTGGATGAGGCAGAGAGAGCTCGAGGCTCACTGCTGAAAGGACTGTGGTTGGAGGCTACTTTTTGTCTTACTGTGCTCCTGGGAACCACAGGATATTCTTTACTGAAAGAGAGAAGATGGGAAATAACATTGATCAGTGCCCCGATACAGATCCCCCACTGGCTGAACCACAGGGTCAAAGAATCCACCAAAAATGCATCACAGAATAAGAAAAAAAGGAGTCTTTGATGAACACAGTGATCCAATTATACCCAAGTGCTTCAAACACCACAGACACATATATCCATGCATTAACTTTTCATGCCTTATACATTAGGCAAGTAGGTTTATGAATAGTTCTATGTGTATGCCAAAAATTAAATGAGCATCCCCCACGAGGAACCCCTCTTCACATGGCATTTTGAAATATTTCAACCTCATGTATATGTCTCTGAATTCCCTAACTCAAAAGCTAGAAGAGTGAAGCAGTCACTTAGACTGAACTTCTGGGTTTCCATCTTTAAAACAGGGCTGAGGTCTTGGTCCAACATTAGTAAAGAAGTTGCTGACCACCTAGGATAGTCAGGTATGATCTTCGGCTACCCTAATCTGGGTTGTTTGCTGCCTATGCCTTCAAATTTCCTTTTGAGCGGGTGTACTTGTCACCACTGACAATATTTAACTTATCCTCCATGCCTGGCTAGTAAAAATTCCCAGTTCAAACGTTGCTGAGAGAAGAAATGAACACGTGTGAAAAACTGAACATAGCAAGTGCTCCGCAAATGGCAAGCATCATCATTATTGCCATTGTTTTGAGAGAGTAGGAGAGAGAAAGAGAGGGAAAGAGAGGAAGGAAGGGAGAAGGAAGAGCAAGGATAAAGGAAACCGAGCAAAGAGCATGGGGTCTAAAATTAGGCAGATCCAGATTCACATCCCATCCCCATCACTTACAGACTGTGTGCCCTTCGGAGCTTCAACGGTCACACGAGTGAACCAAGCAGAATAAAATCCAGTGACATCCTATGAATAGCGTCCTCCCAACGGCTCAAAATGTGGTTCCTCACCCTCTTAGGATACACCATCCACACGCCCTTGCCTTCAGCTTTCATACCAGTATTCCCACTCTCTTCCTCACGATAGCCTGGGTACTTCAACTGAAACCTCCCCTGGGAAGGAGGGAGGTGTGCTCAGCAGCCCCAGGAGCCCCACAGGAAGCCAGGTGGGTGGGGAGGGTCAGAGTGGGAGTCTGCAGAGGAGCTGGGAGGAGGGGTGGCTCTAAGATCAAAGGAAGAATTGAGAGAAGCTTAAGAAGAGAATGGTCTGGCCTGGAACACGTGCTCATCCCATGCAGGGGAGGGGGCTGCCAATGTTTGGGGTGGGGAGAGGAAACTGTGGGCAGGAGAATCACAATTACACTGCACAGGCTGGTGGAGGGGTGATCCAGCACATCCTTTCTGGAAGGCAACTGGATAGCATCCCTTTTCTTAAAAACGTACAATAACGTAGATGCAGCAATCCAATTACTATGCGTTTTCCTAAGAAGTTGTTCAAGTCGGGGCACGTGGGTGGCTCAGTCAGTTAAGCGTCTGCCTTCAGCTCGGGTCATGATCCCAGGGTCCTGGGATCGAGCCCCGCATCAGGCTCCCTGCTCAGTGGGAAGCCTGCTTCTCCCTCTCCCGTTGCCCCTCCCCCACTCATGCTCTCTCTCTATCTCAAATACATAAAATCTTAAAAAAGAAAAAGTTGTTCAAGTCGGTGTGCAAAGACATAAGCATGAGGCTTCTCTCTGCAGCACTGTTTATAACAGGGAAAAAACGAGAAACAGCCTAAATGCCCTCATGAATGGTTAAGTAAACTCTGGCAGAGATGAGAATGGAATATTACACAGGCTTCAAAAAGAATATGGAGACTATCCATACATGGATGCAGAAAGCCGTGCGAGATGAACCAAGGTAGTAGGACACAGAACGTCATCTAACTTATGAGATAATTACCAGGGCTCCCTTCAGGAGCCGGGGACATGGGAAAACTTTTAGGGCACTTACTATTTTGTGCAAAGTGGAAGCGCTGCTTGGATGAAAAGCAAAATAGAGATGAAGACGAAGATATTCAAAGCCCTCCCCATGCTTCTCCCAAGAAGACTACTTGCAGGTGGGAGGGGGAGAACCGGATTTGAATCTGATCCCAAGTCACCTGGGAAATGCAGAAAAGCTGCTACTTCCGGGAAATGCCCAGTCTTCATAAAGTCCCCAGAAACGAGTCCCTCCACCGCCCCCCACAGCCTGTAGCACACCCAGGCCAATGTCCTTGCTAGCTCTGTGAGCTCAGATAAAGCAGGTCGCCTCACTAAGCCTTAGTTTCCCCGTCTGTGAGTTGAGGAAAACACAGAGATGATGCGGAGAAACCACACCATTCTACCCTGAGCCCCCCGATACCTTCCTATCCCTGAAGAACCCACTGGACCCTGATTTCTATTTAGATATTTAAGAATCTGGACGTAGTGGAAAGAATGAAGGTGTTGGATTCGGGAAGATATGTGTTCTCTAAAAGATCCGCCATCTAATGCTGTGTGGCCTTGGATGAGGCACTTAACCTCTCTGAGCCTCACGAGACTGTTGAAAAGATCCCACCATATGCCCTAGAAAATACCTGGCACTTAGTAGAAACTTCTGTTATGCCTTCACAAAAATGACTCATGCTTTCAGCCCACGGAATTTCTCAGGAGAAAGCCTGTCTCCTTGACTTGGGAGGCCTTTCCTCAGGGGGAATCTTAAGGTTCTAAATTTGGATTTGTAAAATGACGTCTTTATTTTCATTAATCTTAAATTGAAATTTAGCATTCCTTTCTGTTACAAATGTAGGCAACAAGCCACGGTTGTATTAGCAGCCCTAGCGACTGTCATCAACAGAAATGAAATAATTTCATTTCCACCGCAGCTGCTGTAGATGCCTCAAGATACTATTTGTGCTTATCACAGCTTCAAAATTACAGTCCTTTTAGACCTGCTACTAGATCCCGTTACTTAAGACATTTATAAAGTGCACGTAATCCCATATTGCCGTTTAAAAATATTCTGTTAACCACGTTTCAGGAGAACTGGTTTTCTTTTTGCAATCTACGCATTTGATAGGATGCATTTAATCCCATTATTCTGAGAAGTGTGACCCATAAGTTTCACCAGACCACCAGAGAGGCCCATGGCACCAACAGGCTAAGAATTCCTCCCTAGAAGAAATACGTATCAGTAAATCCCCAACTTAGTTGTGACTTTTGCCATAAACCAACTATTCTTTTATGGCTTAAGAGTCCACCTGAAATCAGGTCAGGTACCAAGAACACTAGATCTAACATCTAATGCAGTGAAGGATGCTGCATTGGCCTTTCCATCCTTTCTGTGACCCTATGAAGTAGGTACTGGTTTTATCCCCACTTTCCGCGATGAGGCCACCAGGGCCTTGGGAGGTCAAGCAACTCACCCGTGGTCACAGAGCTAGAAAGAGACACAACCAGGATTCTAACCCAACTGTACCCTCGCTATTCCTAGACAGGCTCCTGATTATTTCTTTCCATTTTTAGGATGCAATATACTTTTAGAGGAGCAGGGGGCTTAGGGCCCAAGATCCCTCTCCTGCTTCTCCCATCCCTCGGGGGTGCAACGATCTCCACCTTGGCCCCTGACTTTGTTTGTCATGTGAAAGCACATCAGAGTAGCCAGGCAGGGGACACGGAGTGTCTGCCAAGTTTCCATGAGGCTACAGAGCCCTCACAACACCCAGGGGTCCCCTGGCCGAGCTTTCCTGTGGCATGTACCACTTCCAAACCAAAGCTGGAGCCATCCTGAGCAGCCACACCACTTGGAATCACCCCCTGGGGCCAGAAGTCTGAAAGGAATGATGTTAGCTTTACAGTCCTCTCTTTGCAGCTCCAGCTACGTAATGGAAAAAAAAAAAAAAGGGAGGAGGAGGAGGAAAATTATAATAATAATAAAACATTATAAAAGTTGTCAAATCTCACCGGCAATTCTATTTAGGTCTGCTTAGTTCAAGAACGGAGCTGCCCGAGCTCCAACAGGAAGGGGGAAATCTCTTTTTAGTTTTATATTCTTAATGGGGACGGTTATTTTTTTTAATTAAAGAAAACAACTCCTCCCCGCAAAAGAAAAAGTTGGCTGAGGGATTTTACAAGAGAATGTATCAATGGATTCCGTGGAATTCTCCCTTCCAGCGCTGCCAAATTGCAAAATTACTCTCTAGAAAGGCCAAATCCTGCTTTTGATTACTAACACTCCCAGAAGTGGAAAAGCCATATTATCCCAATAACCACTCATCCCTCGCAGCTTGTTTTTCTCCAGGGCGCTTGAAACATCCTCCCCACCGTCAATCATGAACCCATCCCCGGGTGCCTGCAATCTACGTCCCCAAGTCCAACTGACAGGTGGACTGACAGTGTGCAAGCGTGAAGTGCCTTCTCCATCAGCGTGGGGTTACAGAGGCAAAGGGAAAAAAGCACCGCAATCACACAAGCTGTGGGCATTTTTACTGGGCTCCTCGATGCACCGACCAAAGGAACATGATCCGTGGCAGTATGACCCGCTGTGGACTGTCCTTGCAGTGGGAAGACAGACCCTCCTCCCCTGCAGCTCGAGAGCATCCGTGAGGAATCCAGGGCACAAAGGAAGCAAAGGAAAAGTTGAAAAGCCCCTGTGTGTCTGGGAAGAGGGGCAGCAACAAAGTGCTTTTTCCTCAGCCCGATCCTCATCCTCGTCGCCCCCATCTCCAACTCCTCATCAACCTTGTTCTTTGGGGCCTCTTAACGCCCCAGCCGCTCTACTGGTCGACTTCCTGCGTCCCCTCCTTTGATCCAGGCAACAAGCCCACTCCACTGGTATGATTAGATACACTTTAGAGGTAAAGACATTGAGGCTCAGAGAGGTTAAGCCCCTGGCCGCAGACTGCACAGCTAAGAAGAGGATAGAGTCGCGCTTGGCCCTGGGTCAGTGCTATTCCCAAGCTCTTGCCAGTGAATTTCAACTTGATCACAGGAGCGGGGCTGCCTTCACACCAACTGGCCTCTATAAGGCCGCCTGGTGCTGAAAGCTGGCCCCGGGCTGCATGGGGCAATG